GAAAAAAACCCACAGCTAAATAATGTTATAGACCCTATACATTTTTTTGGATTTTTAGTTTGTTTTCATTGTATGCAGGATAGTTAAAATAATATAAACGAGAACAATTTACGTGTTTATTTTAATTCTTTAGAAATACTTTAAGGACAGTAACACGTTGAATTACGTTGTAATATTAATTCTACATGTTTTGATATGTTTGATTCGTTATTTAAAATAGTCTTGATTCTTTTGTTATTTTACTGCAAAATTTATAGAAGGTTATTGTTATGAAACTATAAAATATGTTTTAGTTTATAGAGAAGAAGGTCTTACACTATAAACCAACCAGGATCATCTATTTGGTTAACCCCGAATGAATTACAATGCAGTAATGTTTCAGCTATATTGCTATGGACTAACCTACAAATAAATGTAATATAAAGCTTTAAACTTCTTTACTTAATTTGTTTTGTCCTCGTCCTTGATTTATGTTAACCTGTATGTCTACCTTTTTATTTCTTGTTATTTTTTAACACGATGTGACAGATTTTTGTTTTAAAGTATATACTAGTTTAATTGTTTAATAAATTGTATCACAAAAGTAATAATGAATACATTAATAATGCTAGTAAGAGAAATAAAACTACAACAACGATGATAACTATATGACATATAGTTACATTGGTCAAGCACGTACTTGTTAACTATATACATAAACTGGCTATAGAATAAAAAACCCCTCTGAGATTGCCAGCAACAACTTTTTAACAAAACTCTTGGGGGTTTTACCATACCGATAAAGTACTTGTTGGATATTATAACGATTAAAAATGTATTTTCTCTCATACTGCATGAAACTAAAATCCTGTTTTTCAATGCACGCTTTGTCCGTCCAAAAAAGCACCTTATCTATTAAAATTGTAAGGAATCAGCTGGAGTTAACGTTATCAGCTGTACAATTTTGTTGTAAAATTCACCACCTGATATTGCCAAAGAAATTGATCACATGATTAATGAATCTTTACTCAGATTGTTTTCAAACCAATTCAATCATTTATCTACGACATAAATAATTTTACAATACGATAAATTATTTTAGTACAAGCCTTTTCAAATTAACGGGAAGACATGTTGACATTCCAAGCAACAAACAGGTACATTATAAAGCAAACAAGATATACATGTGTCAAGTTAATTACAAGATTCACTTTTCAGTTTATCATCGTCATGGTATGTTTCACAACAGTGTCAATATCCAGAATTAAAAAATATACATGATGTTTTAAAAACGCAATCCATGAACGTACCGTTAGACACTTTTAAACATCAAAACAAGCTCATATTTTGATATCGCGGGTTTCTTCACTTCTTTGCCAATCAGCCGATATGCATTGTTGCTTAGTTATTTATTAGTCTTAATGTATTGGGAATTTATTGTAAAGGTGTTTTCGCAAGCTCAAAGAGTACGTATTGTGAATTAAAAGTAAATAATTAATTTCATGGTCAAAGATGTTTAAAATTAAGTTTCCAGGTGCGATTACAGTAGGTACCTATAAAATCAACTCTTAATATAATTAACTAAAATTTAAGGAAACCGGATCTTTAGGAAACCAATCTGACGTAGGCACTCGATTAGAGCTTGCGAAACCCCCTTAACGAGTTTAATTTGCAATAAATTCTCAATAACATTAGTCCTTACAGGATAAATATATATGCAACAATGCATATTACCTGAAAGGTAATGAAGTAAAGAAAACAGAGACCAGCATAAGAACTGGTTATGTCGGTAAAAAATGTCTCACGGTAATTGTAATTATTTGCGATGAAAAAACACCCTGTATCAGTAATTTTAATTCAACGTTGTTATTGTGTATGCGAAGTAATACATGCGCATCTAAATAACAGTAAAAAAACCCAACAAGATTTTAGCTTAAACCGTTACAATAGCTTATTTATACAGATAGACAATATACTAAATTTACGTTTGCTAATTTTGTACGTTTGCTAATACAGCTTAAATAACAATGTAGCATAATGAAAAATAGTTCAACGGAGAGACCAAAATATCTTAACGACCTTTGCACACTTTCCGACTCCTATTTCCCTTCAATCGTTAAACTAGAGTTCGTTTCGACAATAGCAATTTTAGGCCCTAGTGATGAAAAATACCATCTAACTAAATTGGAGTTGTTGGAGTTTTTTAATTTACTTGTTTCCCTTTACTTACACCATTTTACAGAAATACACGGATATAATAATGTGGCATGGATAAATATCTAATAGTCACAAAAGGGAATTTGATTGCTAATATAACGATGGTAATAAATTCAAAACTATAAAGATAGAAATTCTCACTAAATTAATCTATGGACGAGGTTCAATTCATTTTGATTGAATACTCTTTGAACGCATGGGATTAACAACGATGACGTTTGAAATTGATGTTTAGGTTGGAAAGGTGTACAAAATGAAATATATTTTTTGTTCATTAACAAGCTCTTTTCAATTTGCGTGCATCATATAGACATATTGTTATAAATATGTGTAATCAGTTAAAAGGGGAATATTGTAAAACAAATCATGTAGTTCACCATTATTTTCATAAACTAAATGACAGCCAATCAAACTCCATATAAAACTTTGTATAAACTTTGCTTGTTATAGTTCTAACTTTAACTCTACCAAGTTCAATTTAACCTAGTATCCTTTGAGTATCTTCTGTGAAAGTATTAATATTTATAGCTTGGTTACTAGCTCATTTAAAAAATTTAAAAGCAAAAATAAGCAGAAATATTGTTAATTAAGAGTCCTTGGAACCTATGGAATAAAATTTCTAATCCCAAAGTATACTAGATATTTAAATTACAATCACTCTGGTGTTTGAAAAAATATTTGTAGATGGTAAATAACTCTTTAGCGACAGTTAAAAATTAACGAAACTAACATTGCTCTTATGGCAGGCAAATCCAAGATGGTCGTTAGCTTCCATGGATTCCATTGGAGAACAATTAGAAACTTCAAAGAACATATCACATCTCACAGTATATCTGCTTCAGCAGCTGTTTGAAATTATCCAAGATGGCCGCTAGCCTACAAGAACTCTTAATACAGATTCCTTAGTATAAAACATAAACATTTTAAAAGAGTAAGTTGGTTATGTTTTTTAATCCGTTATTATTGGTTATAATTCCTTAATACGTTATAATACGCCACCAATATGTATATTAAACTGTTTTAGTGATTTTCCCCGTAGGAATTTCGCTATTGCCGTTGTTGTTATTGTAATGCCTAGGTAAATGGTTCTTTTAAACTGGATTTTCCATGTGCTTGAAACACCAGTCGTTCAAAGATAAACACATAGTTATACTTACTCGTGTTATTAATACTAATAGTAGCTCTTCATAACTAGGTTTTACGAGCAAAATAAACTAAAACGTATATGTTGCTTCATATTATATAAGATTAGTTGTAACATAAAATATAATATAAATATAATATAAATTATTAATGTTTTGAAATCTCAAAAAATATTAATACCCTTAACTGAGACTATTTAGTTCGAAGATTCCTTCAATTTCCAAATTTCTAGTTAGTTGAAATCAAGTTTGCTGAGTTAAAATGGCCATCTATTTTCTTTTAAGAATATAAGAAACTACTATTTTAAAATGTTTTTATGCAATTATCAGCACTAAATTCAAGAAAATCGAAACTTTAGAAAATTGAAGCTAGGTGGTAAACTAAATAACTGTTAAATTGACCTTTTATGCCTTGCAACGACTACTGATTTTTGCAGTTGTTTATACAATATCCAACGTAACTCACTTGATTCGTATTCCCCTATTCATGCAGCACCTTCATATTTTTTAGTGTACAAGTCTTATCCCTCACATTTATTCACTACTGTTTTTAGCGAAATCTCCTATAGGTCCAGTCCAGTCCTTGTCAACACACAGTCTTCAACGCGTAGATCCATAAAAAATAAACAATTATATATATTAAAGTATGATTGTACAATTAAAGGTTAAGTAGAAAATTACAAAATACAAAAAACTGTACATTTAAAATTCCTATTATATTATTTGGCGAAAGGTAATTGGTTGTTTGCTTGTTTATGGATTATGTTGAATAATTAGGAAAATGTGTTCGTTTAATCCTATAATATAAACATTTTATAAAAACACGTTTTCCTTTCTCCGTAGCAAAACCTTAGTATTCGGTAAACCTAATGTTATTTACATTGGGACTAAATATGCCTTGTTTATGCAAATACTTTACTTAAAATCCAATCAGACAAATTGAAATTCGCTTTAACTGCAGGTTTACTGCGGCAGGGGTACTGTTTAATTAAAGCATACTCTGTATCATGTTAAGTAATATACTACTGTATTACGTTTGTAACGCAGCAATCCGTTTGACTTTAGGTTAATATTTGCTACACCTTACTGATATTGTTATAACTAATCAGTATTTCGACACGATAGAAGGTGAGTAATTGCTGACCAATGTGTGACTCACCACAAACAGCCTGGTCTTTCTTTAGTTACCGCCTCATGATAGGCAAACACAGTTTTCACCTTAGAAAAATTAAGAAAAACATTTAAGTTATTTCCGCAAAAACTGAGTAAACCATAACTCAAAGTGGAAAGTGGCATAATTTATTTGTAATTGCAGACCATTCTTAGCATCCTGTACATTGGCAATTCTTCCAATAAGTATCTATTATTTTAATCACCCTGTATTTGATTAAAGTACAACTATTACTTGCAGTAAAACAAATGTTATTTAAGCCGTACCTAAGCCTTTATAGGTTTTGTTGTTTTACTACCTACACAGCTCGACTAACAAGAGAAACCAGGTGTTGGAATTTGGCTACTGGCGATTTCTTCAGTATTTGTCATATTTATGGCTAATATTCTTGCACAACCTATACATACTGTTTAAAATTCTAGGTGAAACCTTTTACCATTTTAGAAAAACAATCTGTTATAGTTTAGTGAGTTATTTGTAATGCCTCCTAGGTATCACAAGACTGCCAGTATTAGAAGGAGAAGTAAGCCATATAGAGATTCCACGATTTTCTCCAAGTCTAGGCATCACCATAGTAGGAGGCTCGGACACCGCTCTTGTAAGTAATAAATACAGGGTGGGGCAGCATAACTTCCTTTTTTAAAAGCTTAATAAAACGCATTGTATGAGTCAGACAAACTTTATTTGGTTTTTACAATGTAAGTACATTCCTAAAGTTTTGTTTTACGTAGTTTTGAAGAGTAAATCATGCAGGTGTTGTCCCCCATTCTAGATACATTGAGTATACCGATTTTTTGCGATTTCTAGTGTTTTCCATTACCCTTTCAAGCATAGCAGGCGTCATGTTGGCAATTTATTCCTGGATCTTGTTTTTTTTTTATCTTGAAGGGTCCCTGGGCTGTCCACATAAACTCGGGACTTCAAAAAACCCCATAGAAAAAGTCGCAAGAGGACAAATCGAAAGAGATTGAGCCGGCCATTGCAAATCGCCCCTGATTAAAATAAGGCGTTTTGACAGTTCCTGCTCAATCACCATCTTTTATGGATGGAATTGTAGGTCATCATGGAGAATTCTCGTTACAGAACGATTGGAAAGTCCAAGTGGAGACTCATGTTTGAGCGCACAAGACAAAAACACGCTTCTGTTTGAGCGCGTGTCTTGGTGATTGCAACATTGAAGCTCTCACTGCCTCAATGTTCTCAGTGAACTAATGGGACTCCAGTTTTTCGTTTTGTAGCACTTGCAGTTTGTCTAAACGTATTGAACCACATAACAATTGATTTGCGGTCCGGTACAAGGGCCAATGGGGCTAAATTAAACTGATTCTGAAAGGCGCGCTGGGTTACGATCACTGAACATCCACTCAAAAGGTAGGCCTGAACGGCAAACGAACGCTCTTCACTGTTCCAACGCATAATGACGACTAAACTGTACAAGGACAAAACTTTATAGCTTCGCCTCTCAAACGAGACTGCTAGCTCTTCGCTATGACATGAACAAACAAAATGGCGCACATTTAAAAAAATGAAGTTATGCTGCCCCACCCTGTATAAGCTTTTCTGGGCTTAATCCAATTTAAGGTTTTAAAGAACAAGCTTTGATTATAAATCAATTATACAGTTATTGGTAAAAGGGATTCAAGGGTCCTTCTAAGTGATAGGGGTTAAAAGGGCTAAGGGAACTATGAATAGAAAAGACATTTTAATGTGTGGCTTTAAGGTAATAACGGGTTATACGGGCTTAAGGGGATTGAAATGGGGATTCTGTACCATATTCTTTTATTCTCTACCTTTAATTAAGCATAATTCTTTTGTGTATATTATTAAATCTCACCATGCTAAATCTTAAATCTCTTACTGCATTTTAGAATCTCATTAGCAGTTTTCCTCAAAACTATATGCGTGTTAACCTATTTAATAAAACATTAAAGGACCGTACCTTCGTCCCAGACACCGTAGCTAAAATGTATGAAACCCCTTTACCAATGACGCCATCATTAAATACTCTGATAGAGATTTTCCTAACCAAAGCATAATTATGCAGGTTTAGGAAAAGTATTGATCTCCTCTGAACAGTCCAATAGGTCCCGACGAAATAGTTAAACTCTGCGCGCCTTTATATGAAATAAAATATCACTTTTTAGTTTTAATAATACAGTTTAATTAACTCCAAACTCGAGAGAGACCCTCAAACTCGGCGTAATGTAGACTGAAAGGGTCCCAAATTTGTGAAATGCTGGGCTATCGGGAACTAGGGTTAAAATAAGAACAATACAATTTTTTAGCTTTTCAACAGCTTTTTTATTTATATTTATATTACAAGTCAGTATTAAGTCATCAGATATAGTAAAACAAATCCTTGGTGCCTTAAGAAATAAAAAAAATGTATACTGTACATACATATTTAACTCAAAAATCACTAATTTTCTGAGCCAGGCGATGGCCGAGTTATCCAGACTGTCGGCTTAGCGAGTGCCGAGTTTGCAGGACTCTAATGTAGTTTAATTGGTTGAATGAAAATCCAAAATGGGTTGTTTTGGGGGACCCACAAATCTTTCATGTAAAGCCCTATTGAGTGACACCGAATTTTTCCAAGGCCTTTACAAAAAAGAAATATCATCGAGAACATAGGGTAGTCTTAACTAACTTAGGGTATTCAAATTTGGTTTGTTGCACTTGATTCTTACATAATTAAATATAAAAGTCCCTCAGTGGAGCAATATATTTCATTTGGAAAATATAAAGGCTTATAAATCAGCATCTCTTAGTACATAAGTAAGCAGCGAATGTTTTACCACCCTTAGAAGAGGAGAGCGAGCTGGAGTGATACAGTGCGGGGCTTCGAAGTCCGAGATCCCGGGTTCAAAATCCCGCCAATAACCAATGGATTTTATCCATGTGATAATTCCACAGCCCTCTAGGATTAACCTGAAGTAATGTGCAAACAGTTTCGGGCTAAAAGCAAGCGTTCTATGATGTGAAGGTGGGACATAAAAATATAAAACCACCCCAAGAAGGAATTTATATGAAAAGAGAAATAATTGGAGGTGACAAGAATTTAGTGCTGCTAACAGTCTCGTCGTCTGTATCTCGGGCAATATGTCACGTGACGATGTTTATTTGTCGTTTGGAATGTTGTTTGTGCCATATCTTTATGACGTGTATAGCTTAATATTTATCTTGGACTGAAACAAAGAGAGCTATATGCAAGCCTTGCAAAGTCGATGTATAGATAACTTCTTGATAAGCATCATACGTGTAGGTATTATCAACGATATAAACAACTCACTCATGCTGTAATTATTTCCATGGCGGGGAATATATGAAACTTTATAAAGGAATAAAACTATGTAAAATAAGTAACATTGACTAGTGATTTCAGCCAGTCTATTATTGAAATTGAAATAAAAACATTCTCCTTTATTTTTAGAAGCACTGTTCCCTTTGGGTTAGTTAAGACGACGGTTAGTTGTTACAAGCTCAACATTTATTCTTGTTTAAAATAATTTTGCCAATTTTTATTGACTAGGGTTTGTACCTCTACTTCTTAACCCCCGAGAAAATAAATGGGAGGGGGTGTTTGTTTGGAATTAATATCAACATTTTAGAAATCACCTTAAAAATCCAATGTTAGTTTTGATTGGTTTTTAAGTGCTAATTATTTAGTTCATATGAGAGAAAACAGCTTGTTCCCTAACCTACCAATTTCATGCTCTCTATAAATGGCTTTCGGCTTATCTTCACACCTCCTTACAGAAAAATGATTTATATAATCCTGCCAAAATGACGTAGAAATTATTTTCTATTTTTAATAAAAGTACTAGCTGGCCCGACAGACGTTGTCCTGTTCTAATGTGGTTTTATGTCAAATGCTCGTTCATTTTCAAGATGAGCTCAATCGCATGGTTCAATCACGTCCTGGTTGAAGTTCGTTCGCTATGCTCACTCACCTTTAGGTTGGAGCTCGTTCGCTGCGCTCACTTGCCTTCATTTACAATTGACAACAAATATTCGTAAAAAACAAATGGAATATAAACCTATTTGATAGCTCTCATTTGTTATGCATAGATTTGTTTAAAAAAATTAGGTTATAATTACAACAGCTGTTTCCTTAATTTAATCTAATCAAGAAATGACAAAAATGGCATGGTAAACAAAATAAAACATTCTTCCATAAGATTAACATGTAAACTGCAAAGGGCCATAGGACGCTTCCCTTAAGGGTTTTTGAAACGGAAACAGGCTATTATGTTATTCTAGTACCTAAGGAATATCCTTGTAAATTTTCATGCCAATTGGTTCAGTAGTTTTCTAGTTATAAACGCTGTAACTAACAAAACATTCTTTTATATATTAAGATTATGCCAATCACTATGGCCCGACATGGTTGAGGCGTTAATTGGCACATCTTTGCTAAACCCTAAACATAAATGGCCCAAGGGGCTTGATTATTAAAAATACAAATTAATATTGTTTTAGGTTTTCGCTTATTCTTTATGTAACCTTGACCGACGCTAAGGCCGGCCGGATTTCTGTCACGAGTTTTATCCCTTCTTCGCTGAGTAGCCTACGTTTTTAATTAATTTTATTTCTACCCCCTAAACCTTTGGTGATTGTTATCTTTTAAATTGGCTCTCCTCATCCCCATGTCATGTATACATTCCATAAAGAACTTTTTACCTTCTTCCCCCTCCAACTAATTCATCTTCAAGGACTATCCGAAACAACACTCTTACTTTTCTTGCCACCAGAAAATCTCCCAACAATTTCTAAAATCTCCCTCTTACCAAATAGGGGCTATTTAGTCGAGTGTTCTCTTATGCAGCAATAAAGCTATAATCTCTTGTAACAGTAATATACAAAGTACGCGTAAAGCTTGGAGAGTAAGCTGGCGATAAAGAATTTTGAATTTTAAATTTTGAATTTTGAATTTTAAATTTTTGAATTTTGGTCAGGGGGTTAGAGCACAGGACTTCGTTCCCCGAGGTCCCGGATTCAAATTCCATCAATCACCAATAGATTTTACCCATGTAATAATGCAGCAACTTCTAGGCCTAAGCTGAAGTAATGTGAAAAACAATCCCAAGCAATAGCCTAGCACCCTAAAATGTGAAGGTGGGACATATAACAAAGACTAATAAACCCCAAGATAAGGAGGTTAGGGTGAGGAAATACCTTTGTGGTAAATGCTTGGTTGTTTACCCGGAATGGGACAGCAAAGATACATTTAGACAACCTTTAGAGGGATTTAATATCTGTTTCCTTGCCTAACAAGAGCTCACTTACATTATAGGGTCTGCTTAAACTAGGTTTCCTTAGTATAAGGATATCCCACTACTAATCTGTTTCCATGTATTTCCAATTTTTTCCTGACACGTATTTCATCATTAACCTGCGATGTTGTGTTAGATATTGAAAATTGTTTTTACGCTTTTACATTATATCAAAATTGAGTTTAAATTGGTTTACACGAAAATATTACTTTTTAATCAAGTCCTACATTTTTTATTTTAATGAACTTAAAAATTTAGGACTACACTATTAACCTAATTCAATAAAAAAATATTGCAACTTTTCTGTAGAGGCCTATTATTTTTTCCTATTTAAAGGTTTAGGCCTTTCAGAACAAATTTGTAAAACTTTTTAAAGCATAGTTTCAGCTTCGTATAGTGACAATTTCATGTTACAAATTTTCACCTACAATTTTCAATAAAAAGAATGTGTTTATAAAATATTCGTGATGAGTTGGGGGCTCAGTTGCTAGCGTCAATACCGTTCACGGTTTCGGGCCCAAGGCAGCGATGTGATGTCGTCAGCTGGTTACTGTTGCAATAGTATATTACGTTACTAGTTCTGAAAATACGTGTTTACCGGACGAGTGTGGTCGTTCCTGTGCGAGACGAAGTCGAGTACGGGATTACCATACGAGTCCGGTAAACACATTTTGGACGAGTGACGTACGATAGTTTACGCCATACTACTAAATGTATTCAATTGTTATATATTACCACCAACTAAAGGACTAAAAATCACTAGTCATAACTTCTAAGAGAGGTTATGTTTTTGTTATAACCACTCATTGCCACCCAAATACAGTATAATCAGCTGATTGGTGTCCGGTAAAACAGTACAGTAGTACGCAATGAAACCCCATTTGATTAAGCTGGTGGCAAACAGCTGTTTTCTGGACTAAATCTTTGCATGGGAAGTTCGTAAAAATAGTGTAGTGTGGCGTAAACATTTTTTCAGTTCAGTTCACCTTTGTACTGTACCAGCTCACCCCAGTGAAGTGAAGCTGGCCCGCTCATTCCAGCACACTTTTTTAAATGTGTACAAAAAAGTGTGCTCTTTATAACGGCTTTAAAAAAAGTGTGCTCTTCTAATAATTATGATATAATCAATTGTAGTTGGTTATTTCAGCTACAGATCTAAAAACCATGCCAAAAAACTGTGCTGAAAGTGTGCTCACAGGAATTATTAATAAATACCCCCGCCGCAGCAAACCTGCCGACTAAGCGAATTTCCATTTGTCTGAATTGATTTTCAGTTAAATATATTTAAATAACATTAGGTTTAACGAGTACCTAGGTTTGCTGCTACAAGGAAACTAATAAAGTGTGTTTTTGAGTAAAATATTGATAGCTTAGTACAAAATAAATAAATTTGCCAAGTTTTATCAAAATATATCCATAAAACAAGCAAACTACAACATTAGACAATATTCTCCATAAGAATAACATGGGAATTTTAAATTTACAATTTTTTTAATTTTCTCCGTTACTAATAATCGAACAAAAATACTTTTATATACTAAATTATTTGTTTTTTTAAGCTCTTTAAAAAGGTTTAAAGAGAAATCGGGAAATTTTGTGTTTTGAGGGTCAAAAGTGAGAAAAACCAATTTTTACCCCATAAAACCCCCCGTAAAGCCCCATTCCCATGGTCCGATCGTGCTGGTTCGCCAACTCATTCAAGTTTATCCCGCTTTACACCTTTAAACCAAATTTCATCAAAATCGGACAAAAATTACTCAAGTTATCGCGTTCACGGACGTATATATATATAAGTCTATATATATATATATATATATATATATATATATATATATATATATATATATATATATATACATATATAAAAATTTGAACGAATGGTGTTTTTGGCCTCTGGGGACATCAAAATGAAAAAGTAAATCGGTCCCGGGTCTAGGTCTTACCGTGCCACCTACGGTAATAGCTACTTCCCTATAGGGAAATTCGCTAAAAAAGTGTGTCACCCCCGTTACTAAACAAATAAGATAACCCCTAATTGGTAAGGGTAATAAAATGACCCAGCCCGCCCATTTCAGCTACAGATCTATAAACCATGCCAAAAAACTGTGCTGAAAGTGTGCTCACAGGAATCATTAATTACATTTATCACACTTTCAGCACAGTCTTTTGGCATGGTTTATATATCTGTAGCTGAAATGGATGGGCTGGGTCATTTTATTACCCTTATACCAATTAGGAATTATTTGTTTAGTAACGGGGGTGGAACACTTTTTTTATTAATAATTCCTGTGAGCACTCTTTCAGCACAGTCTTTTGGCATGGTTTATAGATCTGTAGCTGAAATGGATGGGCTGGGTCATTTTATTACCCTTAGACCAATTAGGGATTAATTATATATTCTGGCCCGTCCAAATACAATTGATTATATCATAATAATTTTAAGAGCACACTTTTTTAGAAAGCCGTTATAAACAGCACACTTTTAGCACACTTTTTTATGTATTAAAAAAAAGTGTGCTGGAATGGGCGGGCCAGCTTCACGTCACTGCTCACCCCTTGCTTTGCTAGATACGTTCCACGCACAGATTTGTAGTCTATGTAGTCTGGTAAATGCAAGGTTAAAAGAGACCACCAACCTGTTAAAAAAAAAGTATAGAGAGATTATTTAGCGAATTCTCCTTAAAACCTGATAACCTTATTGTTTCAAGCCCAGTAAGATTACAATTGCATTTTATGGTTATCTCCTTTACAACCCTAAATACAATTTCTTTCAGCACAAACTGTGACGTGTAACTTAGGCATTTCCTAGTTATACCACAGAGAAGGAAGGTACAGAGGAAACACTCAATGGTAGGCCTAAGTGGTGTCTAGCACAGTCGATTGTGTCTAGAGCAAAAACCAACACCACCTCCCTTGGCTTCATGTACTACAACGCTCTCAGTGGAGGAAGGACCCTGTGACCTGTGCCATAGGAATTTCTCACAGTGCTCGCCGCCTGGGCTCTTACTTGCTCGTCACAAGTATATTTCCAGCTCAAGATACTAAATCTGAAAGCGCAGGGTCTTTTCATAAGCACGTTTCCTCTATACCTTCCTCCTATGAGGTTATACCTCTTCATAGTTGTATTTTCTCTTGTAAAACTACGTCTAGTAGAAGGAAAACATCTTCCAACTCAAAACCTTTTGCTGTTAAACGTATTTAAAACCATTTTTACCAACTCCAACCCAACCAATTGTCGCACACTATGTTGCAGAGGTGTATAGTCGTCCAGGAGGTTTTCCCAGATGGTCTGGTGGCTCAAGATGGGCGTCTCAAGCCTGGAGATCAGCTGGTTGAGATCAATGGAGTTGACATGAGCACAATCTCCCATCATCAGGCAATACAATATCAATAGACTGACGAAACTTGGTCTTTCGAAATATGATTACGTCGTTGGACTGGAAAATATACTGGCTGTCGTTTTTGAAGCGTTGCACCAATACAAGTGTAGTATTCCTCAAAGATGAATAGCTGCAATGCATTATAAACGACGGCCAGTATTTTTCGTGCAGCATCATACATGACACCAGTTGCCTGTTAAACGGCGTTTTCATCTTCCAAACACCAAGATTGGACAGTCCACTGATCATAGGAACCTTCTAGTTTAATCCTTCAATCGTAAACCCATACCATATCTATGTATTATTGTAGAGTGATGCAACTGTTGAGAGGGACGTATCGTAACCGTAATTCATTTGGGACAAATGGTCAGGGTGGCGCAAAAAATATGGTTAGATTTAAACTGCGTAGTGATAGTAGTTGGTGGAGGGTCGGGTCCACTGCCGGCCGTCTGTCGACCATAGTATCCCATTTGCAGCGAGATGGCACAATGGATGGTCGAGCAACGTGTTTTTGCTGTGGAACAGTTTTTTTTTTCAGGAACAGTGAATATTTTATTACTGTGCAACGGTACATGTTTCGACAACATTTTGGTGTAGCCTGTAAGAGACTGGTTCCTGATCACAGATCGTATTACCTTGGATGGCCACATTTCGGACAACAGGGTCGTCATGCGTGGTAAATTTACTGGACGGCACTTGACGGAAGTTACTCTACAAAACATAGAAACTCTAAGAGCGACAGTGACATTGCCTACTAGCAGCTTTGTAACTTACAAGGTTATTTTTTGTTATGGGGCATTTTAAAGTGTCCAGAAACGCAATTCAGTAAAATGTATGTGTACAATAATTATTTGCGTTTTATTCATTACAAAACCAACCATACTTTTTTCGCCACCCTGTACTTTATTTCAGAAGAACAGCGAATGTTAAATCTTGATACTTACGTGATATTTCTAAATTTTATGGTTTAATAAAAGTTAGATAATATATTTGGCTAGCTTCCAATGAATTACATTGCAGTAATGTCAAGTGTCTTACTACTAATTAACCTACAAAGAAGTCCAAGATGAGCTTAGGTAAAATCATTTCTTAGTTATATTTTAGTTATTGTGTTTTACTTATTTTACTGTACACGTTGTACTCGTACTATGAGTTTTTAGAAGTAATTTTGTATACATTGAAATCTATATACAAAAATGTCTTATACAAACTAACAAAGACGCAATTTATCAACCAAGAAATATATACAGACTATATGAAACACTTTCAGTATTGCAGTACAATATTATTACCTATTTTTACTCACCCTCATCTCCTTCTTCTTACAACACAATCCTTCTCTTCATTAACTTTCCACATATTTCATGTAAACATTTGCAACAAAACAAAACTATAATGCTTCATTTATTTTAGGCATGTATGGCTCTTAGGAAACCTAAATCTCAAGTCCTACGTTTGGGAGTATACAGAGAACGGGTTGCTCCATACAGTTTTCTAAAGGACTCTCAAAATGGTAAGATATGTTTTTGAGAATTCTCAATTAGGTCTGAAAAATTATTTATTTCATATAGGCTTGACCTTAAATATTTAATGTTTTGCAAAATAATTTTATGGTTTCAATAGATGTTTTGAAAGCAAATTTCATGCCTTTACATTCACACCAGATACAACTATAATCAAATATTGTTATGGAAATAATTTCAACAGTAATTGGTTTTAATGTCAGGACAAGTCGGAATAGAATTTACCACTCCATGTATAGGTTAATATGCTTTATTGTAACATCAAAAGTGTTAACTGCACGCAATTTCGTCCATCTCCTACTGTGATTGTTATTTAAGAAATTATATTCGTGAAATCTGAATCCATCCTCAGATGAGTTAATACCTAAAGCATCGCAAGATGCAAAACGTGAAATTTTTTTGTGTTTTACCAATCTTTATGGAAATATCCGCAATAATTTTTTGAAATAAAGTAAAATAACTATTACCAAAAACGAACTTTAATCAAAGGATACCGTAATTCATATATTTAATCCATATTCTGCCTCGTCAATGCGCTATTTATAATCTAATTGTACACAGAATAATCTAGGTCTATATAATCTAAGATCAGCATAGAACTGGGTACCCAGGAGTTTCTCCTATATGATCCCAAAGGACTTTCGAGGGTCTTATCTCCAAATATCCCAATTTATGTGGACTACCTGACAGTTTTTCAGCCTTAAAATGTTTTAGAAATAAAACAAAACATTAGTAGTTTCCAGGGGATATTTAGCAAAAGTTGCACAAAAATATTGTTCATAAATAGCTAAATATTGACAACGGAGCCGCTTCAACTGTATTGATGAAGACGAGTAGAGTTTCATTTTCATTTTTTAGTGATATACCCTGCCAACAAACAGTAAAATAAAGGATGTAAACCCATTAATGTAGAATTTATTGCCTTGTGCAGTATTGGTGAGGGTGGTCATAGAGCACGCGCCACGGCAGCCCCTGGGTATTCGGCTAAGCGGATCGTGGGGGGACGACTCCCATGGCGGAGTATACATCACAGAGATCGTCCCTGGAAGTCCTGCAGCTCTCACCAACCTCCTGTGCCCTTTGGACAGCATTCTCTACGTCAACGATCAAGATGTCGCTAACTGTCATCTGCAACAAGTTTCTACCTTGCTGCAGGTAGGCCTAAATGTACTCATTATAAGTCACACCCGCGGATAATTATAACCACCCGGTTCTCCAAATTCTTATTGTAATCAGGGTTACGTACCTTATTCAGTCAGGTAATTCATTTTTCTAATAAATTTTACTATGTATATGTTTCGGGTTGGATTGACCCATCATCAGGTCTACAGAAACATGAAACACCCTCTTGGCAGATTCGTCACTTTGGATAACCACACATGCATAAAAACATCTACCTAAGACAGTCTTTTTTTTAATAGCCGTTTAAGTTCAGTTCTTAGAATTGAAAAGTTTCACATAACAGCATTGTTTACTTTCATAACAGCTTAGTTCACGGGTAACGGACCAATGATGTGCAAGGATTGAGAGAGAAGAAATAAAATTGTAATTATTCGAACATCAACTAATCAGCTTTTCAGGCCAATTTAATTGTTGAATGGTGCAATTAGTGTTTGGTACAATGTTTCGTTGCATCACTGTCAGTGGCATTGGGAGGTTATAAACGAAAACATAACCTCTCTTAGAAGTTATGAGTAGTTATAAGTTAGTAATTTAAACACTGTAGTAGGTAAAGTAGTGTACGCAACACGGGTAAACAGTGTTACGCAATCCTTGCGTAAACTACTATGAACAGCATTGTTGTTTGACTTTAAAACACGAGGACCAATGAGGTTCAATGATTGAGAGAACAGAAGCAAAATTATAATACTTTGAACGTCAACTTATCATTTTGATACCAATTTAATTGGTTAAACAATGAGTGAGTGTGCACAATAAGCGTCGATCTCTAATAATAGAGATCGATGACAATAAGTCGTTGCATCACAATCATTGGCTATGAGAGGTTATAAACGAAAACATAACCTGAAGTTATGTGTAGTGGTTGTTAGTAATTAAAAACGGCCGTAGGCGTAGGTAAGGTAGTGTACGCAACTTGCATAAATAGTCTTTACGACACTAGTAGTAGTTTTTGAGGCTTCTTAAAAATTAAAACTTTCTTAAAACTTCTACTAGGGTCATTAACACTACCTTTACGTGATCGTTGCGTAAACTACTACTAAAAATAGCTGTATCGCTTTATGAATGCCTGATTATCCAAAAGTGACGAATCTGCAAAGAGGATGTTTAATGTTTCTGCCCAACCCAAAACGTATAAGTTACATAGTTACATGTACTAGGAATAGGAATTTCCTTGACTGAATAAAGTACGTAACTGCGATGACTTATGATTCAGCAATCCAGAGGCTACAGCAATGAATAAATTCTTCTTTAAGTACGAGTGGTAAAGTCTACTCACTCTTTTGATTTTGTATTTTACCGAACATAAAAATGTTGTAGCGAAAATATTCGCGTTGTATTACGAAAATATGTCATTGTGGAAATGAGGTCTTAAAATATTGGTACATTACATACAACAAAGAATCATTAGTAGTGAAAGCGGAAGACACACAAACGGATCACAGATAAGTTTAGGTTGAAAAAAGCAATATAATGAGACATTTGGTAAAATATTGATAATGCTGTTATATATATTTGGATTTTGATAACTATAGTAATAATATACTCGTAGCTCCAGCAAAACAAAGCTTTGCTGATCGAAAACAGTAAACTGATGGAAAACTGTTTTACCTACGACCGTGTTTTGAAGTAGCCATTTCAGTTCAATTCTTAGAATTGAAAAGTTTCACTTAACAGCTGTTTACTTTCATATCAGCATAGTTTCATTTCATATCAGCATAGTTTTTCTCATATCAACACGGGTAACGGACCAATGAGGTTCAAGGATTGAGAGAAAAGAAGTACAATTGTAATACTTCGAACGTCAACTAGACAATTTTAATTGTTGATCCGGCTTGTTCCTGATGATACTCGCGTATTCTTAACCTAAGTTGGTGGAAGTTAAATGAAGGTTGATTTTAAAATATCAGTTAGTGAAAGTGATGTTGACGAGATAGAAATGAGAGCACAAACTGTTTGTGCTAATCTTTTGCCACAAAAATCAAAACCAAGGTACCGTATGCAATTACATACCAGCAATTCATTAAATGGACGAAACAAAATAAGGTTAAATTGATAAATGAAAATGTTCTTCTGGTTTATTTTGAAAACCTCTTAACCACTTTTTCACCCAACTCGTTGTAGACCACATATTCGATGCTGAGATCTAACTAAATTAACTGTTTCATTATATTATTCAGTTGTCCAAAAATATATGCAATATTTCCCTAATTGTACCTGATACAGTATTTATGGTAAGAATGCTGCTAGCAGAACCTATTGCCTAAAAAAGTAACGTATTACAAAGTTTTACAAACACGTAATTACATGAAATCAGCTGATTATACAAGTCGTTGCATCACTTTCAGTGACAATGACAATAAACGAAAACATAACCTCTCTAGGAAGTTATGAGTAGTGATTGTTAGTAATAAAAACCAGATTTTTAGTAATTAAAAAACAGTCGTAGGTAAAGTAGTGTACGCAACTCGCGTTAATAGTCTTTACGACACTCGTAGAAGTTTTTAAGGCACTCGCCAAGGCTCGTGCCTTAAATTTTCTACTCGTGTCGTAAAGACTAACTTAACGCAATCGTTGCGTAAACTACTATTTATTGTACGAATACTGTATCAGGTCTGTAAGTGTAGAGCATTATTTTAGGTTTGTAGTGAACTAATTTTTTGTGTTTACTACAAACGGTTTTCACCATTTATTCAAGTATAAGAATGTATAATGTTTATTAATATTTTCACAGAAATATTTAAAAGTAAGATAACACCTAGATGCTATCCCTAAAATGAATAAGCTCTTTTTTCAACCTGGTTGAAAATATTGCTAATTTATGGGGGAGAAACTCTAAACTAGTTTTCGGCAATATTGCGAATATTACCAATCTAATGAGCATTTGCCTTACTATTATAACATAGGTAAATTTTTATTTCTCGATAAGGTTTTTAAATGTTTTACGATAAACAATTGCTGTTCTTAGCAGCAGTTCTAAATAATCATTAATCATAGTGTATTTCAATGAGGCGTAGGTTTAAATTTAAATTTCCTTCCATTAAAACTCTGTGTGGTTGAACGTATGGAGCTTTGCTGCAACGGGGTGGTGTAGATGGAACATTCCAAGTTTATGGGGTGACCAAAACTATATATATAAATTCATATTCTTCTGTATTATATTCATTGGTTCTGTATATAAGGGTTTTGTTTAATTAATAAAACTGCATTTATATATCTTACTTTCCTTAGATTTATGACTGAGAGGGTGCGGATTTGCCTTAGTTCCTAATTGAGTTTGAGCTTCCTTTGTGATTTATGGTTGTTGGTGAAATCCCTCCTTGCCGTTATTATTGATTATCACCAACTGCAAAGCATCTGTTGCTTAGTTTTGCAGCTTGTGTCGGCGAATAAACCATGATATATGTGCTGATGATCTTTCACATGGCTGAAGTTCATAAACATATGAAAAAACAAGTTAAATAATATTTCTTGATATACGTAAACTAAAGGAACGTATACTATGCGCCTACGTTCCCTAGGCTAAGTTCAGCTATACGTCCCTATACTATCCGTTCAGCTAGGAAGGGAACATCCTAGCTGAAGTTATTCAAGTTTCTGATTATGACGAATAACTCATAAACTGTATTGTTTGGATCTACTGTTACTTAGACTACACGTTTGGGGAGAAGAGGTATTCCAATTGTTTTAAGGAAACATTTTACTATTATAGTGGTTGCAACAAAGTCTGAACGTTGCTGTTTCGATCACTAGTTGGATTTATGCTTGACATAGGTGGGATTTGTTACTGGGCCACTAATTAATTATTGGCGAGTCAGTGACACAGTCCGAAGCGTCACGTACTTCGGGCCTATGACAGCGATGTCTTGTATTCGGATCCTGATACCTGCTACTACTTTTTATCAGTATAGTCAATGAATACAGAACCTTAGAACAAATTACTTCTAAAAACTCATAGTACGTGTACAACAGTGAACTGTATTCGTATTCATTGGTTCTGTATTATATTCATATTCTGTATTATATTCATTGGTTCTGTATTTTATTCATATTCAGTATTATATTCATTGGTTCGTATTTCTAAGGTGCTGTATTCATTGGTATAGTCCTAGGGGAAACTGTGCCGGCTCACCTCTTGCTATATCCCACTGGACATGTTCAACGCACAAACCCGTGTGCCTATTTGGCAGGGAAAAGAATCCGCTATCCTCTTAAAAAAATATTAGGCTTCTTGAGCAAACTTTTCCCCTTAAAATGACAAGACAAAGTTTGAAACCGTTCCCTCGTCCCCTTGACATTTTTAATTCTCCATTCACAGGGAAAACTATAAAATAATAACAAGAAATAACCTTTAACACAATGAGCCAAAAAGATTTATGCAACAAGGATTTAATTGTTGACCTTTTCGGAAGTCAAAAAATCATCGGTATTTAGATGTGCTAATACCATAACATTGATATATTATAGAGGAATACATACTTTAATGCAACTAATAGGCTTTTTACGCCAACCAACAAATATTTTAACTGTTTTCAACATGTTTCAGAGTACAGAGAAGGTATCGTTGGTCGTATCACGAAAGGTTAATTCTCCCTTAGGATCTAACCCCCGCCCAAAGTCTGCTCCTGAGTCCCTAAACTTGGACTCCACTGTATCACAAGCCTCAAACCCTCCCTGGGGCCTCAACTCTGTCTTCAACGACTCCCTAACTCTCCCCACCCCTACAACTCCTCGCCACCTTGCCACCACCAATCTCAATAGGGACTTCTCCGAGCCACTACAATACAAGTTCATCACAATTGTCAAGGTAAAAGTGTTTGTTAAATTCGCGTATCTGGACCTTATTGAGCTAATATAGTTTTCTAGATTGGGGGTTTGGTATCTTGATTTAAATCAGTGATTAGCTTCAGGTAGATTAAAGTAGTTGTATGTTCTGTAAAACAAAATTTCATTCAGGATCCACCGAAGAACCCCAATAATGTCGTCAGTGTATGATCAGACTGCTATTAAAGTCAATGTTTATCTTTTTGCGGGTGGGGGAGAAATATTATTTTCAAAAACGAAGTGTTTTGAGGATTAACATTGCCTAAACGCACTTTTGGAATATTATAATTTATACGATGCAAGGTAAAATTTACTTTTTTTTATTACATATTTTATGAGGATTTCTTTGAGGATAAGAATGTTCAAGCTGTATATTTTTTATTTGTTTTAGAATACAAATAAAATTGCAGCTTTCTTGTTGGATAACTGATCGTATCTCTTAATACTGACTTTGGAAGTAAGCTATCCATCCATTGGTAGGGGATGGGCCCTGGGTCCTGGGTTCTAATCTACCGAATCACAGTTTACTTTATTCTATACGATAATGCTGCGACCCTAGGCCAGCCTGAATTAATGTTACAAACGGTTCCATGCTAAAAGCCTAGTGACCTAGTATGTGAATACAGTCCATAAATCAATGTATGTAATAACTAATATTTGAATTTGTAGACAAGTTGGCCATAATGTTTTGTTGTAGGAGGCAAATGAGAGTCTAGGAATGAGGATTGGAGGAGGAATAAGCAGCAATGAAGGTGACATCCCTATATACATAGCCAACATACACCCTCAGGGATGCGTTGGCAAAACACAACGAATTTGGGTAACATGCTTAACTCGTAAACATGAACTAACGTTTGTCATGTTACTGTTAATCACCTCCATAAATGTCAAAAGTTTCTATTTATACTGTTATAGTGTTTTTGTCAAAAGCAACCTAAATCAAAAGTGGTTGATTCAGACACACCTGTGGTCCGATTTTGATACTCTGGAAAGCTAGGTACGTGTTCTAGTCTGTAGTATCTCCAGGCATTTTTCATTTTGTTTTTCACATTTTGGTTTTTAATCGCAATTTCCCCATACAAAGTCATAAAAGAACGGGAAATCTGATTTTATCAATAACGGTCCGAACGATTTGGGTTAAAATGTAGTATGTCACACTCCTTTTTAACCTAAACAAAACTGTACAACGCCTATTGCTTGTACGGATCAAGATGGATTGCAACTTTGTGATATTCCACATAAAATATCATAATCACTCCCATCTTACCCATGGGTTGTTGACTGGTTAATGGGAAAAATAAAGTGTCAAATTGATGATACACTTTAACAGCATTTGATCAAAGATAATTTGATTTGCCAATGTGAATCTTTTTACTGGCTAGTTCGTTAACTAAACGACCTAAACGTTCTAAACTAAACGTTAATAAAACACAGTAGCCTTTTTAATTATCAATTATCAATTATCAATCATTAAGATGGGGACGACACTTAGGTTCGTATTTTAACCCAAATATGAGCGAAGGATGAGTGTAGAATGGTGTGAGATGATCTGTGTAGCTTTGTTACTGACTAAGATCAGCTGTTTCATTAACCAGGATCATTTATTTAAAGCCCAATGATCAGGAACAGCTGGGTCCAGTTTCGAACCATCAAAAAGCTACTGACTTTTCTCAGGATCGAACCGGCGACCTTTTGATTAGTAGGCGATTAATGTTTTGCTGTTTAAACATTTTCATTACGTGGTTGTACTGTGATGGAATTAAGGGAAGTAATTTTCCCTATAGAATGGTAACAATTTCCCTATAGAAAAGTAGGTACTTAGAGGAATTACTTTTAAATTATTTTAACTGATACAAATATGTCGTGTTAGAAAATAAATGGCTGTATAAATTACAAAATTTGAATTGTTCATTGCAAAAAAATTCGCTATATGCATAAATTCGCTTATATGTTTGCCTTTAAAACTGATGATGCGTTGTTGTACAACTTTGTATTTGAGATAATAAACTTACCTGCATTGCCTTAGAGAAATTACTTTAAAATTGTTTGAACTATTTACAAATGGAAACAGTAATAATAATTTGTAATACTCAAACAGTAATACCCTTGAATACTAATTTTATACAGTAGTCAGTGGTAAAACCTTCTTCATTAAATATTAATTAATACAAGCAAAGGTTTCAGTCATAAAATCATATCAATTCGGTAGCCTCACCAGATTGTCTTGAACAAAAATAACACTTATTTTTAATGCAGAAGAATAAGTTATGAGGATGTTAAATTTTTCATTTAGTTATTTCAGTTGTCTAACATGCTCTGGATGTTAGTCAACTTTTAGAAAAGGCAAAGCTGTCACTGCTTGTGCGTTCTAGGAATGCTGAGTTGACTATCTGGCTACACACTGACAACTTGAACACTGTCTTGCTTTTCCTATTTTCACCACCGCTGACTTAACTAGACAATATGTTATCTAACGCAAATTATTAACAGAATTAGAGTTTGTTTGTAGGTGGTTTTGTAATGCACTTTGTGAACAAAAATGTTATCCACAATAAAATAGTAGGTGGTGGTTCTGAAATATTCTAGAACGTTATTTATCAAATATAGCATACTAGTGCACTGCACATGTTGCTCGAATTTGAGCAATTGCTTTGTATTAAAGGCGTGATTTTAAAAAGAATAACAATAATAATTTCTGATTCACTTTAGAAAAGTCGACTCAAAGATTATGGAAATACTGTACTCACGATGCACATAATAAATCGATTTAATCAACATTGATTGTAAATATCTTGTCATTTTTCAAAAGCTGATTGTGTTTTTTGTGTTTTGTACAAATATTTCCCACTCATAGCTGCATTAGGTTGTTCATATAACGATTACAAATTCTAAAAACATTGTTTCTAACTCTTCTACTAGGTGGTGTTCTATGACATGACTTTCCTATGTTTCCATAGTTTGCGAATCGGCTCTTTCAATGATTGCTCAAAAAATACAGCACAGTTTAAATTCAGATTTCTTTTTAGTATATCAAATTGGCCAGGCTTTCCTGATTTTTCCCATTGTAATATTTACGCCAACCCAAATTCAAATAGTAAATATTTCAAGTTAGTAAATGTGTGTAGCTACCCAACTAAATGTGTTAGCTGACGTTTCCTTAAACTGCAACTAAAATATTAACAGCAATTAAATTATCCAGCTGACCATTATTAAAAGAAAAAAAATGTTGTTCATAAAGGATAAAGTGAGCGCTTTTAAAGCCACTGGGGCAGAGCCCAAGGGACTTTTTCGAAAATGTAAGGTCAGTTTACAAATCTACACACCTAGACGAACATTTAGATATAGAATATGTGGGGTTAAATCTTAAAACCAAAAAGCCTTATTGTTCAAAAAGTTCCATGTAGCGTATTAATAATATAGATATATGAGGATTTGTGGTATTTTACAAAACATGTTGGGGAAATATTGTAGGATATAAGATATTTGACGTGTAACGTGTGAAATAAAAACTAAATAACGTACCTTATTTTCAAGTTTATGTTAGCCTCCGGATTACGTTGAATATAATGAATTAATACAAACCTGATTCAATTTATTTTAAAATGCTGCTGATAGGCTAATACAACTAGTTTCGACTTTCAAACGTTGAGTCTTGCTATCCATCCGGTCGTGACCCATCAGTACCTGTTACCATATTTTATTGGTTTTTACTCTTTTTATGTACCATTTTATCGTTTCAATGTTCGTGCTCGTGAGTCCATGTGACCTTCTTGTGATGTGATCATAATATCCATTGACTCCTGAAGATACCTTCTTGAAAGACGGAGCTAGTTGCAGCACTAGCAAAATTTTGGATTACATCGAAGCAGGTATTTAGACACATTCAAACATAAAGTATAAGTGTTTATAATAATTGTTAATACAAGATTATTATGTCTTTAAGGAACAAAAACCTATTGAACCTATTATATTCATAATAGTGTGTTAGTTTTGTATTTAAATGCTAAAAAATATAACAGTAACAAAAAGCGTGTAAGTATCGAAGTTTTTGTCAACATAGCTCTCTTATTGAATAGTTCAACTTAAAAAAGTGTGTTTCTGTTTCATCCTCTAAGTCCAGTTCTAATACGCTATTTTTTGTAGGATTCAAAGTCAATTACCTTTGTATTGGAATGACTATTTTTGTTTTTTTTTTCTTCAGAAAGGAGACATGCTGATAGCTGTGAACGGCAACAGTTTGATTGGACTAAGCCACGCTCAGGCAGTGGCCACCCTGAAGTCCACCATCCCCAACACAAGGGTAGAAATTACCGTGGTGGAAGGGCCTGAAACTTCTCTTGGAGCGATGAATTTTGTCCCTTCTTGGCTTTACTGGCAGAAGCTACCAAGGTAATAAATAGATTGCATGATACTTACTGTAAGAAAGCAAAAATAATATTTTCCTACAGTCACCTGACAAAGTTGGCTTCCCTGTACTGTTTATAGTACAGAAAGCTGCTAATTGCTGCATATTTATACTTTGCCGTACGGTTTATACTTTGCCGCACGGTTTATACTTTGCCGCACATCAGGATTCCAACCAAACGACACAAAACAGCGTGGTTTTATTATGCACGTAATCCGTGTACGCTTGGAAATAGGTTGGCAACACTTAAAGATAATAATACTATGAACAGCTGATTGACTATTATAACTACGATTTAACCTGTCATTTCGTGTTTATAGTTTTGGTATTTCTGAACTTTCTGGACTTTTATTTTAAACGTTTTTAAAACATTCCTACGGTCTTAATAAACAAGAAAATACCTTTAAACATTGCTCTCGTGTGCAGCAAAGTGCCACTTTCACCACTAGTTACACAAATAACTATTTCGTAGTCAGAAAATTTTAACATTATGAGATATTTTCACAAAGGGGTTTTTAACCAAAAAGGATGTTTTCTATGAAAGTTATATCTTATCAAAAGTATTATCTTCGAGGTTGTGTATGTCGTGTAAAATGAATGATTCACACATGTAAAACCATTTAAGTAACTCAATCGAATATAATGTAGCCTACTTCCTGGACAGTGGTGTTTGAAAATAACGCTCTACCAAAACATCTGCATCTCTAATTGCTTTGCTTTGACCAGCTGACAGCGAGTGTAGATTCATTTATGAAAATTTAAAGTAAAATTAGGAAAATGCGAATGTTAAATAATATAACAAGTGATGTAACAGAAACCTAACAACAGGAATAGAATACCTTAAACCTCTTAACCACCATTCTTCAAATAATCAAATTAGAAAACCTTGTTAGTATTAAACTGGTAAACGAACATTATAGGATAGTTATTGATTATTGAGTATAGTTATTGATTAGCATTATTTATGCTACTATATCGATCTCAATATTAAGGAATTTCACAAGGTGCCGAATGAGTGGCATACACTTTTTAGTCTGTGTGTGGATAATATACCAGCTGCTCTGCTACCTAATTATTAACTGGTACATGCTCTGTTATCTTAAAATAAATTTTGATACAAAAATATTTTGTTTGTTATCAACTTTTGACAACTTTTGAAAGCTACAGCAACAGCGAAATTCGTTCTGGATAAAATAATATATAAAGTTCTAAGTGACAATAATTTATGTTTTTGCTATATTTACCAGTCCAAATCTCACTATTAACTATTTATACGATTTCAACCAAATATTTTTCATAATGTACATATACCTTTACAAAAACACGAATGTTACACTGAAAAATTCGTAAATATGACAATTAATCTCTGTCCTAGATATCTTAAATAACTTTGAAAAACATTGAGCTTCAATACCGATAAATCATCGAAATAAATGGAGCAATGAATCTATACCCGTAGTGATACAATCATAAAAATCCAAACATATTTCATTTTTATCGAATGTTCATATATGGAAGTAGCCATTGATGTAGCCACCATTGAAATGCCTCGGGTTGTGATTAAATTTATTTTTAGTTTTAATCAATGTCCCCAATGCCGCTGTTGGTTCAAATTGTAATATATTTATAACCTGTCCTTCAGTCCATCACTGAAACAATAATTATATATATATTATGAAATCATCAATGCTATTTTTGCTATTCGGTCTAAAGATTATTAGAAATTTCAATAGAAATAAATTGCCTTTTACTATAATTTGATGTATTTAGCATTTTGAATTTGAAGAGAGCTTAGGTGTATTACCTATTTGATACTTTTACAACTTTTGAACACAATAGTACAGTTCATTCTAATATAGAAGCAATTTGAAACTACATATACAGGTGTCACATAAGTAAGTACAGAACATTCAGAAATATGTCAAAATAAGTCGAAAATCAAGAATAAAAGGGGTTTTTTAATGCGTCGTTAGCAAGATATCCATCATTTTGTCTTTTGTGTTTAAAATTGGTATCCCAAAAACTATTTAGATATCTTTATATATTTTTGGTATGCAATTGTATCAAGTCATAATAAATTTAAGAGAAACCAATAAGTATGTTTGTGTTTTATAATAGCAGTAATTTTATTTATAGCTTAAATTACTAACAAAAAGGATGATTTTATAAAAGATTTACAAGAACACCTTTATTTCGCAAGATTTCCTATCAAACGACACCAAGCTTTATTTTATGATTACAACAGTATAAGGTTGTAAAGCTTTATTTTATTATAAACATTATACAAGTTTAGGGTTTGATTGTTAAGTTCTTAGGTATTATTTGCTGCTTTTTTGGTGCCGTTTGGTGTATGCTGGGTGTCTCATCTAACCTGGATGTCAGGGTCACCAGAGTAGTATTCCCTGGAAACGTACCCCGCTTTTCCTGCTTACTATTCCTTTTTTTTTAAGAGGTTGGCGGCCTCTTTTAACCTTGCATTTGCCCGTCCACATAGACTAAGCGGCCGTGCGTGGATCGTTAACAGCAAAGCAAGGAGTGAGCCGGTACAGTACAAAGGTGAACTGTACTGATAAAATGTTATCGGCAGTGACCAGGATCCGAACCCACGACATCGCTGCCTTGGGTCCGAAGTCCGCGACGCTACCGACTGAGCCACCAACTCACTACAAAAATGAAGTGTTCCTGCCCATACACTTAGCTTATAATGCAAAGCATTTTGTTTTATTTGGGCAATATGAGTAAGATTGTGTAGGTACTAAAAGCTATTTTGAGACGGTTTGTTTTTTGACAGGTGCCTTCAGTTCCCGAAGACAGTGACCCTGTATCGTAGCCCGGGGGCCAGTTTGGGGTTCAGCATTGTAGGGGGAGAGGACCCTATCAGAGGCTCGCACCACATCCACATCCTATTTGTGGTCCAAAACTCCCCTGCCGCCAGAGATGGGAACTTAAGGTATAGTAGAGTTTTATACTGAACTGTTTGAATAATTATATTTATAATCATTTTACTTGCAATAGTATAACCAACCCTGTTAAAACTGCAAGTGCATAAATGTAATAAAAGTTTATTTTAATTCTACAAAGATAATGCATAAAAATAATATACTTTACTAGTTTCATTGATGTTCTTAAAATAGACGATTAAAAGAAAAAGCTTTTTAAAATATCATTATTTATTCAAAATATCACTGATAAAGAGTGTTCAAGATTAGACTATATGCTTGAAAGCAATTTTCTAAAATAATTATTTCATGATTTATTTGTTTGTTTATTTATTTATTAAATCCAACAGATAGCATATTTGTTCAGGGCCGCTGACTACCTGAACTGCGTTCCTCAACCCTTGGCAATTTTTCGTCAGAACGAAATGTTACTCCAATCGGATTTATTTTTGGGGAGCGAGTTGGTCTGGTGGTTAGAGCGCGAGACTTTGGTCCCTGAGGTCCCGGGATCAAATACCGCCAATCGATTTTATCTAAGTGATAATGCCGCAACCCCTAGGTCTAGCCTGAAATAATGTGAGAAACAATTCCGGGCTCGTGCTGGATGCTAGCATCCTAGGACAAAACATACTATTTATTCAACTGTAAGAGCGAGGGGGATGGAGTGTTACTGTTTTTCTATAAGATTTGAGTTTAGCCGAAATGTTACTGGGCCGAAATGTTACTACACATGCTGTTACATATGTACATATAATAATAATGTACATATGTTGTTGTATTATGGTGTAAAACATCTTGTTTCCAGATGTGGAGATCGAGTGCTATCAGTGGACGGCCAATCACTGGATAAAGTCGAGCACTCTAAGGCTGTCTCAATGCTGAAGAAAACCGGCACAAAAGTAGTGCTTGAGGTGGTGTCTTGGCTTGGCACGGAAATATGATAATCAAATCATATTACGATCAAAGTCTATCTGAATATTTTTATAACTTATTTTCATACTTGGAAAGTTTTATATTTTGTATACTAATAAAAAAAATTGTTAGTGGTAAAGCTAGAATTATTGTACGATATGATAAACTAAACTAAATTAATGTATTATTGCAAGTAATAGTGGTTTTCAGTGTTAAAATTTAAAGTAGATTACAAAATAGGCAACTTTAATTCGAAGAATATACTAAAACGTTTAAATGCATAACAGATACTGTACGTGATTTATTAAAGTTTTTTTTCCAAGACAAAATTTTTTCATTTTCCAAAAGCTGTGATACTTATGACTGTTCTGATATAATCCAAATTTTGTGAAGGAAATTAAGTAGAGTTTCCTTTCTATAGGCATAGAACGTTTTTTAACGTAGAGGATAAGATACTGTAAAGTAAACCTTTTCAATAAATAATAGTATGTTTTGGAAACCGTGGATTTTCTATCCATTGTTCGATATTGATTAAAACTTTCATTTAGATTTGTGCTCCATGGAATAATCCCCTATACTATTTAAATAGTTAATGGGGTTAAGTAACCTTAAAATAAGTATTTAAATGCTGTATGTCCTCCCCTCACATCCTAGGACGCTAGGCTCAAAGCCCTGCACCATTATACAAATTACTTCCTGCTAGACCTCATTAAAATTATTAAAAAATATACTTATTTATTAAAGCACATGCAATTGCAAAACTTTATGTTACTGTACTGTTGCTTTGATACCATTAAACATAGTTTGTCATTAATTAGCGTTATAGACTAATTTTACTTACAAATTTGAATCAATGGAAGACTACTAGTTCAAACCAATCACATTTGCCTGTGTCTAGGTGTAAAACCATTGACTATTGAAGCTGAAGCAGACCCTTTATGTATGTACCAGTAGCTTTTGTACTCACAGAATACATAGGTGGTCCAGCCTTTAAAGAGTGTGAGACTTCTATTCAAGTTGTTTTTCTTGCTTAGTGTTTTATAGTACATGGTGGATCTAAAGTATCGTTAAAATTTTTAAACTCTATAAATGAAAAACTATACAACCTATCATCACGGGGTGTGAATCAATTAAATGAGCTGATTCTCAAGTTTTGTTTGACACCTCTAAGAATAGTTGCAAAATTAGCCTCTACGGAAATTTTTAGATTTTAACTACGATTTTAAATTTACTACAAAATTTAAAATCTATGAAACTCTAAAACACAGAACACTTTTTGGTCTTTTGAAGCCTTGTTCCTCGCAGCTTACAATAGTAGTGGACATCAATAACAGAGCGGTAAATTATAACTAATTGACCCCTAATGGTATAACTTATAACTTGTAACATTTCAGCATAGTGTTTTGATACTTGAGATTCAGAGAGGTGAAAGCTCGTGATTAATTTAAAGTCGTCGTTACAAGAGGTTATTTATGCAACTATGTTTACCAAAGTAATGTCAAACAAAACTTTTGAATTTTCTCTTTCAATTGATTCTCACCCCAAATCACAGCATTTGCATAGTAATTTACTAAAGGTAATTACAATGCATAATATTTTAACTATACTTACGAATGAAAGAGGGATAAAAACACCAAGCGTTTTTAATCTTAATTAATTGTATCTAAGTAACTAAATACTTGGTCGCTACCATACAAATATAAATTTGTTGCTTCAAAATGCACACTTAAAGGCAAAGCTGTTTCCGAAAACAATTATTCTTTACAGTAAATTGTTCAAGAAATTCCAATTTGTTCTGAACATTAAAACTCAATTAAGATCCTGTAAAGATTTATGTAGCGCAGAAGGATTCACGTTTAACCGGACTGTTAGGAAATAGTAGAGTTTACGGTTTTCATTATCGTTAAAGACATTTCAACCCGTTAAATACATTTTAGTTTTTAAACAATTTTCTACCAGTTTAACAAGCAATGTATTTTACAAAAATATAAACACATGTTCTGCTTTACCTCTTTGCAACTCTCATCAATCTACCAACATTAGTGAATGTTCCTTGCAATTATTACTCAAGAACCCGCAATAGACATTGTTATAATTTGAGTTAATTTCTTTATTAACAATTTTCGATTTATTTTGCTTATCATAAAATAAGCTTCTTTTATTGAGTACTACTTCAAAATAATGAATTTGGTAAATCAAAATTGTGTTCCGAGTATGTCTTGTAATAAAATTGATAATTACGTTGATCAATTTGACATATGGTAGATCTATAACACATGTAGAGGTGTATTGGGTTAGTGTTTTCAGTTATCTAGTTTTTTACAGTTAGCCTAACACTCTGCTTAAACCCTACTCAACAACAAACTAGTAAGATAGAGCGTTATTTTGTCAATAGTTAAATAACGAGTTTAGACATTTCCATTCGTTTCGACTAAAGTTTAATACATATTATTATTAAATAACTAAAAGCGGTAATTCTAATCGTAACTTTTTTATGTTATATTTTAAAATATATTTATCAATTATGTCATTAATTATATTATTAATCAATTATGATAAGCTTATGAATAAAAAAAATACTACATAAAATATAACACGATATGTTTGAATTCCAAGTCCTATAATAAACATCAGTATGCCCAAGACTGGTGAAACTACCCCCTTTGCATTCAAATTAGACTTGTATCAATTGCTTCATATGTAACACAAAATACTCTATCTCAACTGCGGCTTTAGTATTCTGGGTCGGTTTCTAGGGTTCAGCTCTAACGGACCACCAACTGATATGTTTTATACATACTGATACGACTTATTCAAACTTTTTCTTTACTTCTTTAAAACATCATCGACTATAATATTATTTGGATTATACATTATGTTTTTGATTAGCAAATTTCCCTTACAGGTAAAAAGCAATTACCATAAGTCACATAGTAAGACCTAGCTCCGGGATCGTTTTATTTATTTTTTTATGTCCCCAGAGGCCAAAATATAAATAAATCTGTTCAAATTGATTAATAAACATATTTATTTAATTTATTTATAAATTTGTCCATTAACACGATAACTCTGGTAAAAATCTTCCCGTTTTCATGAAATTTGGTACAAACGTGTAGACTTTCTTCGTGTTTGAACGAGTTTGCAAACCATGATCGGACAATTGACGAGGTTTATGAGGGGTTTCATGCAGTAAAATAGTTTTTCCCCATTTTTCACCCTCAAAACATAAATATTTTCAATTTATTTCCAAGCCATTTTGTGGAGCAATTAATTTAATTTAATGAAGCGTTATTTGCCCAAAATAGTTACGGAAATATTTCAAAAATTCCTAAATTTAAAATTCCGATGTTATTCTTATGAAGAGAAATAAACATGTTGTAGTTTTTTTTTTTTCATAGATATATTTTATTTTAATTTGGCAAAGGTTTTTATTTCATACTAAACTATTAACATTTCAATTTTAAAACACACCTTTTTACCTTCCGAGTAGCAGCAAACCTAAGTACTCATTAAAATTATTGTTATTTAAAGAGGAAATAAATGTGACAATTTAATGGGAATATTTTAGTGAACATCCAGCCAGGTAAATGGAAATTCGCTTGGTCTGCAGTTTATCTGCGGTGGGGGTATTTCACATTACTTCAGGTGAGATTTTAACCCGGGACCTCAGGGACCGAAGTCACTACCATAAGACTAGCTCACTCCCCACTTAATGTTAGTTAAATCGTAAATAAGTTAGAAAATTAAAATAATTATGACTTATAACTACAGCTTCATATAGTACTGTAGCATACAAAGACGAATCGAATGATAGATTGATAATAGACTGTTTACTGCAGTAGCTAGTAGGTTTTTTATATGCTCTTATATGTGAACTGCATTTAAATTGCGAATTGATGGTTATAATTAAAACTAAATTATATTTTGAACGTAATAGGTTTCTAAAGTTTGTCATCAGAAGTTAAGGAAATTCATATTATTTGAAACATGATTTGGTCAAATTTATTCCCTGTTTTTTGACCCTTGATTACTTTAAATGGGCCGGATAAAAAGGTTAGAGAAAATCTCATGCTGAGCTCATCAATCTTGGTAGGCTTTTACATGGATAAAGTCAATGGAATTGCTCTCAAGCTGTTTTTTTTAGTAAACGATATCAAAACTAAGCAACAGTTTACATAGAATGTTAAACTTAAAGTTTTAAATCAATTTCTCTTATTGGTGTTCACCTATATACTGTACTGTATATTTTATCGGAGAAAAAAATGTTGACAGCAAACTTAAAAACAATCAGTTTATCTAGAATTCACCAACTCTATGGAAACCCATAAAATATAGATTTTAAACCTATGCATTTTAAACTAAAATGCATAGTTACCGTAAAGAAATCGGTAAAGTGTATTCCATTGCCAGTGCCGAAAGTAGCATTCCCGTGGAGAGCTCAAGATTTATGCGTGAAAAGCTGAACAATAAATAATTGTGGATGACACTTTTCATCATGCATTCATCATTAATAGGTTTGTATGCTACCGAAATACATGTTTTAATACAACACTACCAGGGGCTAAGAGGGCAAATGGAAACATCTCAGACCAATTTATGAGCAAGAGGAAATCAACTTTTCCTACCACTGCATGAAAATTATCACATTAGGATTCCTGTAAACAGCACGCAAAATAGCTTATTGCCGCTCTAGATCGGAAATGGACATTCCCGCTCTCCAAACAAAAATTAAATAAATGTTGAAAATAAGATAATAAATATAGTGTATATTATATTGCAGTGTCGCAAATTAAGTCAACAGGTATTTTTCAAAAACCATAAATCATCCCTAAGAGAAATGAGTTTGTAAGACACTTAGTGATATTAAAGATTGTTCAATAAATTATAATAAAATTGCTTATTATAACACTACTGTTTAGGTACTAAAACGTATGAAACATACAAGTTAAAGATTTGCATCAGAAATGAATAATGTTGATTCTGTGCAGTTTTAAACACCACACAACGTCGAGCTGGAACGAATATTTCAGTTTCATCCATATTCAGTACACGTGCA